ACAACTTTATTAATAGATTACTGCAATAACTTATACGACTTGAGGTTACTCGAGTCAATTTATACTTTAGAACATAAACCAGACGTGCATAATACTGATTCAGGTGACCCTCTCCACGTAATTACATGTCATCCACAGTAATGTATTCACCTTTCTATTTTAATGCGTTCCCACCTGTATAGTTATTTATAATTGTCTTGCTTTAATAATTTTTAACTTTATTTAATGATTTATTTAGATATAAGGACTTAGTTGTGTGAGTATATATTTGGAGCATTGATTTGCTTTTTAATTGTTTTCATTGTATATCTTGTGTGATTTTTTTTAATAAGGATTTTATATTTCTTTTAGTTTTAAGTATGTCATAATTTATTCTCATATTTTACTTTTCACGTCTCGGAGTAACTGATGATCACGGTAGCATCAATAAATGAATTAATACGCTAAAAATAATGAGACGAACTCTTATTATTTGATACAAAAAATACAAGGAAGAGGAAGAGCCTTGTGCCAGGGATCTCGTGTTTCCCAACTCGTGACGCTTGTGCCGGCCACAGTCAGCAGCTGGCAATATTCAGATTTTGTTCATTAAGAAAAATCACTTGTGTATTGAAAAAACTTAAAATTTCATAATGTTGCGATACTTTAGCGCGTAACGGAGATAGTGTCGTGTAGTGTGTAGTGTAGATGCTTTTCTTATGGGTGTAGTGGAGGTGCCTTAAGTTTATATGGTGTAGTGTGTAGCAAGACCTATCATCATCAAGTAAACACTCCACCTTGGCCATCCAGCCCGCCCCACCCTCGCTTGTGTTGGTCTCTGTGTCTTGTAATAAACTCTACATCGTAAATGAAGACATAGAAAGATACAGTCACATGTCTACACCTCCAGGTTGCTCAGAAGATAACCTCACGACAACATGGTGGTGGTCTAGTGACTCCTATCATAAAGTTAGTGGAATATCTGAACTTGAAAATATACAACTATTATTTACTGATCACCATTCAGTTAAGTATCGCTGCTACTGAGTGCGTCTTAATGCACTCACTCACCCTGGAGAGCAGACGTGAGAGGCGGTTCATAATTGACACATGGAACACACTGGAAGACTTCGTCCCTAAACTGCTCACACATATTGCACTAAAATGTGACTCATCCCTGTGGTGCCAGAGGAGGTCATCACAACAGTCTCCAACAGTCTCCTCGTCAATCTGGCTGTGAGCCGCTGGCAGCATCAGCCTGGGTGATTAGATTGTCACCCGGGAGGCTAGGTTGCACAAGACCTCAGAATCGTCGACTGGTAAAGTGAGAGGTGGTGCGTTGGGGGGGGAGGGGGGTGAGGGGAGAGGGTTGGTGCCCCCCCCCGCAGCACACAAAGACCAACACCACCACCGGTATTGACCCTCCTTAACATCCTACCTCACGTTGTGGTTTACTGAATGAACACTTCATTGTATTATACTCTACTATAATGGGAATGAATCTCAGACATGGAAATATAAATTGCAATTTCCCATTTTAGGAATTTAACGAAACACACACACACACACACACACACACACGAGTTACATAGCGTATTATTTATAAATAGTTGAAGCACTGGTCTGGTAGAGTTAAGACCAGACACTGTTGTTGTCATCGAGGTTCACGCTGGTGTTATGAAACAAACGTCATCATGATGCACGAGGATGTCCACAACGCTGATGGAGTTATTACTCAATGTATTGTGAGGCTCATCCTCATCCCTCTCCTCCAGGCGTATTAGAAAATGTGACTCTGACCTTTGTGTGACCTCACGCCTTGACCTTTTCGTCAAACAACTCCAGGGATGACCGACACCAGACAATATTTCCTTTATACCTATAACGTTAACCTATTTCTGGTATTTTTTTAACATTATAAGGAGTTGCGTATCAATCATTTAACTAAACTAAAACTGTAATTCATATTCTCGTGAGAACATAAATCTACAAATCCGTCGAATATTATAATTCTTGTTGGAGTGACACACATACTGGCTGCCCCATCACAATAATTACATAACTTGCATATGTTATTGAGAGACCATTGTTTATGAGAACAAAAACGCTGCAGCTGTCAATAAGTGTGTGGCAGTTGTTGTTGGCCGATGGTTGCCTAGCGACCATTGGTTGTGTTTTGTCACCTGTGTATTCATGCTCCCGGCACACCTGGCTCTCAAGGTCGCTACTCCACACACCTGTTATTATAGTTATTGCTATTAGTATTGTTATAATTATTTTATTATTTTCATTGGTATTTCATTATTATTATGATTATTATTATTATTATTATTATTATTATTAAAGCTGAGGGTGTTCCGGCTACCGTCATAGTTTTTTATATAATATTTCTGCTTTCTTAAATTAACTTGATATATTATTACAGAAAGGCGTAAATAATATAATTGTGATTATTAACTAAACACGTTATGCAATGTTCATCTAATATTCAGTATGTAGAAAGAAGTTTTTAGTTAATATTTCAGTTTTAATTTCCCAAGTGTGTGTGTGTGTGTGTGTGTGTGTATCAAGTGTAATATTAGGTGTGGTGGTAGATGTGGTAGAGTGTGTGGTGGTAAATGTCATGGTAATTGTGACAGTGATTGTGGTGTGGTAGTATATATATGATGGTAGATGTGGTGTGGTAGTTGTGGTAGTAAGTGTGGTAAGTACGGCGACCTGTGGTGTAATGATCAGCATCCACGCCTCGTAAGCAAGCGAACCCGGGTTCGATCCCCGGGCAGGGTGAAACTATGGGCAAGTTTCTTTACGCCATTTGCCTCTGTCTACCGAGCAGCAATTGGGGACCTGGATGTTTATCGATTTGCGGCTCGTATTCCGGGGTAATGGTTAGCCAGTGCAGTGGCGAGTTGTCCGGTCTTCTCGGACTATTCCTTGACACTGGGTCACCCAGCTCGTTAACTTAGGGTGTGGTTGTTGTGTTGGCAACAGCTTCTACACCTTAAACAAATTCACGCCTAGGTGGCCCTAGGGCCGGCTATCCTCGTTACACGAGGGGCAACCATTATTTTTATTATAGGTGGTGTGGTAGGTGTGGTAGTAAGTGTGGTAAGATGTGTAGTTACAGTGTTTATAGAGTTGCCACACCCAGCTGTAGAAACCCAGCAGTAGGAAGGTCGTAACGGGAGACAACTGCTGTACAGACCAACATTTCTCAGGTTTACGACGGCTCCCCTCTACAAGACACCTGTAATAGAACGAAGAAGAATAAGAAGAATATTAGCAGAAGAAGAAGAAGAAGGAGAGAAATTCAGCAGGAGGAGAAGAAAAAGAAGAAACAATTTAGCAGGAGGAGGAGGAAGAGGAAAGGGAAGAAAGAAGGCGATCACCGTCAGTAGAGAAATAAAAACGAGAGAGAGGAAGGAAGGGACTTTTAAATTATGTATCTCACGTGCTATTTCTCTCTCTCTCTCTGGTAGATGGACTCAGGTACGAACACTTAAGAGGTACGGTATGTTCGTTCCTCTTATCACAGGGGAGGGGCTGAGGTAAAGGTGATGGCGATACTAAAACCTTTTGCCTCCGAGGGAAATATATAACCAGAGTAAAGGTTTAAAAGATGTATCTTATAAAAAGTAGCAACCGAAAATTTTTTGAGAAATGTGTTTGTCGTGCAGCGTGTCTGTCACTCTGTGTATACGTGTACCCCTTCGTTGGTGTAGTCACCACTCATTAACCAGATGCACACCAGCCTGTATAAACACCTGCATGAGGGTCACCAAAACCAGGTGTTTCTCTGATGCTGAAATGAGTCACTTTGGCCCCAGGTGTGCTGCTGTATGTACACCTACGACGGAATATCACTCTGTCAATGTTAGTATGAACCAGTCTAACTCATCCTAACCTAACATGTCCCTAGCTAAGGAAACCTAATCCTTCCTGACATAAACCAAACTAACCTAACCAAACTAACTTACCCAAACCAAACTAAGCAAACCAAATTAACCTGAGCAAACCAAACTAACCTAACCTAACCAAACTAATCTAACTTAATCAAACCTAACCTAACCTAACTTATTCATACAATGGGTAGAATCTTGAAGAAAAAAACGAATCAAAGTTTTAGCGTCAATCTCGTTTATGAAAGCAGCTGACTGAAAAACTTCCAGAACTTTTCCTGAGGCATGACGTCATCAGGTACACGTCAGCACCTTCCCACACCTGATGACCTGCCGACACACTGTACATCTCTTCCTGGAATTTTTTTAATGTGGACTTAATGGCTTTGAACTTGATGGTTATTAAGTGTTCATTCTATAATCAAATACCAGTCATTTTAACATGTAAATAACTAATGTCTAATAACGCATTGTGTTTTAACTGTGAACATATAATCAGGTAATAATCATGTATTAACTGTGAACTGGGGAGTCATAATCAACAGTTTAAAATCATTAACATGTTAGTATATTTCACGCTGCCTCACCGCTTTATGCCACGACACGCCTAACACACGTGTTTACTAAGGGACCTAAATTTAGCATCATATCAACTTATAGATTTTTCCTATCACGACTCTCCATGCAAAAATCCTACCATAAAAAAAATATCACTGATACTGGTCAAGCGAAATCGTAATTTATGGAACTTTTACGTGAATGGTGGAGAAAAAATTGCCAGAAATAATGTGCAGGGAAAAAATTTATTACGTCATAGGGAATAGTGTTGTCGTCTTGATGGATATATAAATTAATCTCGTTTATATCTTATTACGAGTTACTGTTTATCATTTCATCACTTTCCTGATCATTATTTTATCAAAGTCATCATTATATTACCTATCAGTGCCTTAATCTATCTGTCTTTTTAGGTCTTATTCATTATTTTCATCCTTGTTTATACAATGATTCAACTACATTCACTGTCATTAGGGTTGATTACTTTATAAACATCATTAAATATTCCCATCATACCTGTCCCAAATGACCTTCACTAATGAGGGTGTTGTGTGTGTGTTTCAGACTACCTGTGCTCGCCGGAAGCCAACGTTTACGACATAGATTTTACAAGGTTTAAGATCCGGGATATGGACACAGGCACAGTATTGTTTGAGATCGCCAAGCCTCCGCCACAAGGTGAGTACTGGGTGTTGTGTTACGTGGGCGTTGTGTGTTACGTGGGCGTTGTGTGTTACGTGGGTGTTGTGTGTTACGTGGGTGTTGTGTGTTACGTGGGTGTTGACGTTCATGGGAACTGGGCTACATGGGTACTATAGGTGGACATATGGGTTAGGTGAGTATCAGTGAAGGTGTGTGTGTGTGTGTGTGTGTGTGTGTGTGTGTGTGTGTGTGTGCGCGCATAAGTGCTTCACACTTATATACACAAAGATTAGTTTGTTTACTCATACCTGCAATACTCTTAATTAAATAAATAATATTATTATACGGAATTAGTTACCAGGAACCATTTAATAGAGAGATACGGTCCACTATAGTTAATGTAATAAAACAAAATACATAAAAAGTAATTCATGGGTTATAATGTGACTTATGGTGGATAAATACGGGATAAATACGGATAATGAGAGGATAAAAGTGTAATAAATAAGAATAACAATGGTATAGATATTTTGTTAAGAGTGAGAATGTGTTGGGAGACCAAAGGCTGTGGTGGCACTGTAGTGGAGATGTGGTGAAGAAAATAAGAATTACGTTTCTTGGTTATTTGCTTTAATGATTTTTATTTTTTTAATTGGTGATGACTCAAGTATGTGAATTTATTTGGTTCTGATTATTTACTTAATTAATTTTAACTCGAGTATAATTTTGAAAAATATTCTTGTTTCTTTGCGGATAAAATAAAAAGGTCTTATTTCCTTCATCTACTGTGTTTCTGTCTGCGAATATTACGAAAGGCGATTTGATTTCCTATCCTTACAAAAATAGATCATCAGATAGCGTATCCTTGGGGGGAAGGGGGGGGGGAAGGGGGGGTGGGGGTTGCAGATCCCATATCCTACCTAGAACAAAGGATGAAGCCGTAGATTCTTAAAGGTGAATGTTCTTTACTCTCTCGAACAAAGGAAGATTTTTACACCATCACAGTCAGCTTATCCGATAGAGTTATTTTCATGTCCTGGGTGATTCATATAGACACAAGGTCGTGGGTTTTAGAAAATATTGTCGGAAGAAGAATTGCATTTGAGTAAAGTTTGGATGATATTAATATAAATTTTTCTGCATTCTTAATTTTTTGATAATACTGTATTTACTTATATACGATTAAAAAGTACTAATAAGTATTAAGGGAAGACGTCGTATGAATGAGTCTGTCGAGGAGTAGTAGGAGTGTGTAGTAGGAGTGTGGAGTAGGAGTGTGGAGTAGGAGTGTGGAGTGGAGTGTGGAGTAGGAGTGTGGAGTAGGAGTGTGTAGTAGGAGTGTAGTAGGAGTGTGGAGTGGAGTGTGTAGTAGGAGTGTGGAGTAGGAGTGTGGAGTAGGAGTGTGTAGGCATGGAGTGTGTCTTCCTCAGTGAAGTATGAGGCGATGAACACACTACACCAAGAGCTGAGTCAAGGTGCTGCCTCGATACACTAACTCTTTTAAATGACATAAGGAAGAAAAAAAAAGGAAAAATGGCCAAATAATTCCTTACTAGTGTTAATTGATATTGAATTATTTGACCTTAGTGGTAGTGTTGTCTTGACTCGTGATGTGATGTAACTGCTCTCCACTACCACAAAAATAATCACCTAACTCTCGACTGTTCCTGTGTATGATGTAGCGTGGTAATGTAAACAAACACCTCCGCTTATATAGAACTGTCATGTGAGTTACGTTAGCCTGTGGTGGTTTCGAGGTCGTGTTGGCATGGGGAGTGTTAGACTAGGGGAGGAAAATATTGGTCTAAGGGAGAAGTGGAGGTGTGAGGAAAGAACCTTAAGGAAAAAAGAATTAAAACTTTCACTTTAGTTTGTTGGAAAGAAGAAGAGATGAATAGTGTTCGTTGTGGGGGGGAAAAAAGAGAGGAAATTATCGCCATTGTTCGAGAAATAGCAATTTTTTTTTTCCGGGGAAGTGAACAACAGAGAATACTGGTGCACTTCTCTTCCCCCACCACAGATCAGAATTTAGTGTGTGTGTGTGTGTCCGCGAAAAATGAGACGTAATAAAAAAGCTCATGAAATTAAATGCTGCTGTTGCGCGTGGGATCGTGGTGTCGTGGTGCGGTAACAAGGAACAGCGTAGCATAAATCAGCCCTGAGCATCATTAGCATATAATGGTCTCATCTTCCGACACTGCTGTGATAAGAGAGAGAGAGAGAGAGAGAGAGAGAGAGAGAGAGAGAGAGAGAGAGAGAGAGAGAGAGAGACTTTACGCTCGTGTTTATATAGCGAGATATATAACGAGATACTGTATATCCTACTCTGGTGGGTGTTCGCCTTCCATAACAGGACCCGAAGATAAGTCATTTGATTTATCTCTGTCGTCCCACACAACTCAACTCAACACAACACAACACAACACAACACAACACAACTTAACACATCCTCATACACCACACAAAGTTATGTTTTAGTCATGCATATACACTGTAGTTCCCTGTATGACCATCCCCCTCTTATCTAGTTCTCTCCCTCACCATTGCACCTTCTCTCTAGCGGAATTCATCTCTTAATTACACTCGCTTCTTACCAATCATCCAACATTCCTTTCTCTCATTATATCCACCATACCTCTTTAACCTTGATCTGCTCTGTCCAACATTCCTTACACATTCATTTGTATCCTTGTTTATCATCCTTTGCATCTTATTCTGGCCACACATACTCCCCCAGTGTGGGTTAGCCTCCTTGTGTGCATAGAGACCTTGGTGGTGTGGTAAGGTAGATGGTGTCAGGTGTTGGTGGTGTCAGGTGTTGGTGGTGTCATAAGATAAACCACAGAGGAGATTACATTACCTGTACAGTGTCTTTAAAACAAGTGAGGATTTTGGCATGACTTAATATTATTTATCTTCAATATAACAAAAATAAAGAGAAAAAAATAAATATCAATAAATAATAAAGTTCACAGGTAAAAAAAAATCCGAGTTGTTTATCCCAGGGAGAAGGAAAGTAAAAATATTGATTATCACAAAAGATAAAAAAAAAAAGATCGTAATAAGTCAGTACAGTAGTTAAGACCAATCACCTTGTCCCATGTGCCCAGTAAGGCTATTTAAGGAGGGCCATTAAGGGCATCGTAAAAGAGAGTTTATAACTTAATGCCTTTAGGTTGTCAGAGATATACGGCTCTGTGTGAGTGTGAGTGAGTGAGAGAGAGTGTGTGTGTGTGTGTGTGTGTGTGTGTGTGTGTGTGTGTGTGAGAGTGAGAGAGTGTGTGTGTGTGTGTGTGTGTGTGGCTGAAGATAATAAAGCAGCCGGGGAACACAACTAGTCTTCTGAAATTACATTGTCTTGTGGGGGTAAAAGGATCAGTCATAAGGAATGAAAGTGATCACTGAAAAAACCAATCTGAAATCAAGAAGACCTGACGTTAACTGATAACCTTGAGAGGAGGAATTATATCAACAGAGAGAGAGAGAGAGAGAGAGTTCCAAGGTGCTGAATGACCTAACCTAACCTCCTGACTACACCTCACCTAGAACCTCTTGACTCTACACCTCACCTAGAACCTCTTGACTCTACACCTCACCTAGAACCTCCTCACTCTACACCTAGAACCTCCTGACTACACCTCACCTAGAACCTCCTCACTCTACACCCTAGAACCTCCTGACTACTACACCTCACCTAGAACCTCTTGACTCTACACCTCACCTAGAACCTCTTGACTCTACACCTCACCTAGAACCTCCTCACTCTACACCTAGAACCTCCTGACTACACCTCACCTAGAACCTCCTCACTCTACACCTAGAACCTATCCCCTTCACTGCTCCTAATTTACATATTATTGGAACCTCTTGGGGCATCTTTTATTCAGTCTACTCCACTCTCGAAGGAAGAGAAAGAAATGCGAGTCAGGCAGCGAAGGAGGGGGGGGGGTGTGAGTCAGGCAAAGAAGGAAGGGAATATGAGTCAGGCAGCGAAGGGAGGGAATGGGGTAGACTGAATAAAAGATGTAGCAAGAGGCTCCAATAATATGTAAATTAGGAGCAGTGAAGGGGATAGGTTCTAGGTGTAGAGTCAGGAGGTTCTAGGTGAGGTGTAGAGTCTGCAGGTTAGGTTAGGTCATTCAGCACCTTGGACCTCTCTCTCTCTCTCTCAGACCTCATCGTTATCCATCTCCCTCTCCCCCCCCCCAAGTCGTAAACCAGCATTAAAGGCGAGGTCTTCCTCCCTCTATTACGTTTTTTGCTCACGAATTTCCTTCCTTTTCATCATCTTTTTCCCCCAAATTCTTGTTTCTTATCCTTCGTCTTGGGAAAAATGTCTATATTTCCCTCATCTTATTTCGCTTTTAGGGGGTCTTAATTTATTTTTTCCCGTCTATCTTCCTCTTTATTCTCGAGTCTTATGTCTTATTCTCCCCTCTGTTTCTTTCTTCTCCTCCTATACCTTCCCCAGAGCAACAAGGCGAGTGTAGAGTTTCCCGAGCGCCAGAGGGTGATAACAACAATGAGGTTTCCCCGTCACCTGATAATCCCGTGTTTCCTGGTGAGCACAGATGATGACGATAGCTAACTGGGTTTCCTTATCTGTTCACAGCATCAACAATAATGACCAGTAGAATTTGTAGAGTCTTCCTTCCATCAGATCTCTCTCTCTCTCCTAACTTAAGTGTTGTTTTACTTTCTTCTTGTTCATCACTTATGTTTCGCTCTCTTCCATTTTCTTATATATGCTTTATTTATTTATTTTCACTTCTGCTTCTCACATTTCCGTCGTTGTTTCTGTCACTTTCTATTTTGTTTCTCTCCCTTTTCTGAATTTATTTTTATCCCGTGTGCAGGAGTTGAGGAAGAGCTCTTGCCTCCTCACCCTCAGCCTCGTCGTAGTGGCTGTCCGAAGTCTTGGCCATTTATGTTTTTTCATGTTTTTCATCCGTCGTGTTTCAGTAATCCGACCCGATTTTTGTACTTGAAATATAACGTAATTTTTTTTGGTCGTACTGGTGACGTAATTTGTTGTT